CACGTGCATGATTGATCCTCTCCATCCTGATGAACATCAAGACTTTGGGCTTCAATGGGGGGGTCCCAGACCTCGCAGCGCTCTCCTTGGCGGCCCAGTACCGCGCTCACTTGTTCGAGGCGCGTGGCGAGGGGGGCCTGAGGGTCAACGACAAGGTTCGTGATCTGGACAAGGCCCTTGCGGAATCCGACGACATTGTCTCGACTGCACGCTGGTCGGTCTGGCACAATGCAGTTATGGCCTGGCACATCCAACGTATTGCTGAACAGTTCTCGAGGCACGGCTGGGGCGAGCAGCGCGTCCGACAACACATCGACCGAGGAGCTGAGGGCTCCCTCTAGAGGAGCAGGGGGTGCGGGGAAGACGGCAGCGACCTTGCTACGAGCTCTTGCGGTCCGCACCAGATGACGCTGGTCACCGTTTTCTGCGCAGGCGCTTGGAAAGATAGACGATACCAGTCTTCCCGCGGATCCAGGTTTCCCGTTTCTGCTCGACCTTGGAACATCATCAGCATGAGGTCCCACCTCGGGTTCGCGCTGCCGTCCTCCACACGGGGTTGAACGGTTGGTGCACCAGCCGGAGTTTGCCGGGCCATGGCACGTGCAGGTCCAGCTGCCGGGCAGAGGGCCCCATCGAGCACTACGCCTGTTACCCAGCAGTTCGGGACTTCTCGCGGCGCAGGCTGAACGTGGAGGTAGGTGGCCCGGTCGTTTTTGTTGCTCCTGGGTGCCGCCCAGTTGCACGTCGCCGCGAAGCGCGCAGCAGTGGTGGCGACGGTATACAATGCGCACTGCTTCGCTCGACGCTGTTCTGGTACTGACTTGGCCCACCCGTCGGCGCTGGGACAACTTTCGTTAGAGTTGGTCGGTGGCCACCCGCGCGCGGCGGCCCCGATGGCCAGGGCGCTTGTGTAGCACAGTCGGTGCCCCTTGCCTCCTCTCTTTTTCCTCGGCCTCCCATCCCTCGTCCCTCCCCCGTATCGGGGTGCCGCGCTGGGCCCAGGCCGGTCTGGCGCTTTGCGGCCGAGGGCTCCGACGAGAGTTTGCAGACCATGTCCTGGGGCGGAAATTCGGGCGGTTGCTCCTTGGGCGCGCGTCTTTCGCACACTGCGGGGGGCGAACTTGCTGACAAATCGTGCGCTTGCGCGTTTGCCCAGTTCTGGGGGAGGCCAGCCCGCCGACTTATGCCTTCTGCTCCGCCAGCGCTGAGGAGAACAACTTGCGTAGGCAGACGCGTGCACCCATGATGCGGCGACGTTCATTCGGCAGGCGCTGTCCGGGAGTGGGCCGACGAAGCGCATACGGTGCTAGTCAGCGGCCCAGGCACATGCTCAACGTGGTGGGGCCCGCCGGCAACATCCTGGCATGGCAACTGCTGGCGAAATACGCGTTGAACGGCATGCCGCCGCGCATTCCGGCGCGATGTGATGCTAGCTATCGCGTCCCCTGCCCCGGCCGCGTGGCCGATGGACTGGGAGAGACGTGCTGCGCCGAGCAGCCGATTGGTGCTGCTCTTCTCCCCCGTCTCCGGGGGGCGGAGCGCGGGTTATCCCTGCTAGGGTGGGCCTGCTCTCCGCCTCCTCTGCCTGTCCCGTCCTCGCTCCCCCCCGCCTGCTGGAAGCTCCAGGTCTGGACGACATCTCAAACGGGGGGTACAGTTGGAGCAGTCCGCTGGTCGCGTGGTCCTGTAGGTCGCCAGCCATCCCGTTTCTTGTCCTCCCTCCTGCCCTCCTCCTTGCCGCGCCGCCGCCGCCGTTGATTTCCAGCTTCTGTGTTTGTGGCATGACCCGCGTTCAGCAGACGCGCTGTCTCGCGGGGTCGCCCATTAACACGAAATGGGTTTCGGTCTCCCATGTCTTCCTCCTTCCTTACGCCTCCTCCTCTCCTTCCTCCTTCTCTCTGGATTGCGCTGTGCGCTGTTGGATTATACAGGTGGCCATTTTGGCCATATGAGGTCATCCTCACAACGCCCTTGCCTTTTCGGCTCGTTTTTTCCCTCGTTCCTCCCCGTCCTCCTCCACCTCCTCCTCCTCCTCCTCGTCAGCTTTCGCTCGCACTTACGGGCCGAATTTCGCGACATGTTCATTGCGCGCTGATGCGCCAAGGAGTTCCTGGAGACTGGTTTGTTTCCCTGTCCCCGCGCCGCGGAAATGTTCTTTCAGACCGGTGTTGTTCTTTGGGCGCATCTGTGTGTGAGGGAAGAAAAGGACAAGAATGGCAAGACCAAAATCAGTAGTCACAGTCACAGAGAATAACGGTCACTTTGGTTTGAAATCGCGTTCGCATCCTACACCCTGCTACTGCCATCAAAAATTGTTCAGCGCGTTCGTGGTCGATGCCGCCATGTTTGCGATCGCGCCCACGCTGACACGGATTTTGGCTATGTTCGTGAAGGACACGGTTTAAGCAGTTATTGCGCGCACCATTGCTGCAACCGCCCTCGCAATAGTTTTCATGCTGCCTTCAAGTCGTGCGCCCCAGGCACCTCCGATGGACGTCTTTCTCGCCATCCGTCAACCGCAAGTGGAACCTGTTGCAAGCGCAGAGAGGCAACATGGCTGAACCATAAAATTTTCTGGTTGGGCAGATCAGTTGCGTTGCGGACGCCCGATTGCTCTAGGGCCGTCTGGAGCCATTCGGGGGGCTTTCTCGGGGCCTCTGTGGGCCGTCTAGAGTCTTGGGCCCGAGTTGGCCCCTCTTGCGGCGATCATTGAGCTCTTTTGTGCGCTCCGAAGACAGCAACAAATATATACAAATTTCATACAAAAGCTAATGAGAAATCATTGCTGTGTGTTTTATGGGTTTGAGTTTGAAGTTCCTTTGGGGGGCCCTGGGCCATTTCGGGCGTCTTGGGGGTCTCTACGGGCCATCTTGCGGTCATCTTGGGTTCTCCTACAGATATTTGGCGCCAGCTTTCAAGTGCAAAAGAAGGTTTGCGCAATCCCCCCTTTCGCCCGACCCGATTCAACCACAGATTTAAAAAAAAACACGTGCCTGTCTTTCGAAAGAAGCTCTCTGCGTTGCCGCCGCATCACGATATCGTTGGCGACAGTCGCCGCCACTGCCGCGGTCATCACACAAACACCTTCATCACCAGCACATGAGCACCAGTATTGTCATCTTCGTCACCAGCATCAGCGCTTTCATTGACCTTGTCGTCTTCATTGTCATCATGGCCAGACTTAGGTCGGGCCTGTCCCCCTTACCGGGGGCTTTTGGACGAGAAATAAATACATCAGAAAATGCGCAGGAGATGCCCAAACATATTCAAAAAACAATCCCCAGGCTATTGTTTGACTATTTTTGAAAATTCCCTCATGCGGAGGGGCAGGCCCGACTTAAGGCTGGGCCGAGACAGCCCGCAGAACGACGAATATGCGATCCAGCACTGCGCCCGCCCGAGTCACCGACCCGCACTGAAGTGCCCGTGCGCCAGCGTGGCCTTAGACGCGCTGGGAGAGTCCATCGGTGAGCGCCGTCGTGGCCGCATCGGTTGTGCCAGACCCGCTGGCTGCTTTGCACGCGAGCTTGCGCGCGCTGGCGCAGCCGCAGAGGTGCGCCAGCCAGTGGCAAAAAGTGACCGCGATCGCGGCCGCATGGGCTGTGCAGAGCAAGTTGCGTGTGGGAGAGTGGGACGACTGCCCGAGCAGAGCGCTTGACACAACGCATGCAAACACGAGCCAATGACACCGCATAGTTTGCACAAGACAGATCGCTCCACATTGATGGCACCACGCGGTTTACAACATAGCGCACATCGCATAGGTTACGTTGCAGACCGCACACAACATAGCTCGCGCCGCAGACATTACACCACAGACCTTGCACCGCAGATATGACCGCATCGTTCACAAAACGTGAGTTCCCTCACACATCTCACATTGCGTAGCCGTCACAAGCACAGTGCAATGTCTAACGGTTTGGGTCCGACGTTGGGTAACGTTATTTGTCACGAAGGGTTTTGGCCAACATAATGCGAACCACCCGTTCCGTTGCAAGAGAGCTTTGCCCGAAGCGGGCAGTCATTTTGCAGGATGGGCCCAGACACCGAAGTCGAGACATCATTATGAATGAACAACGGGACGTGGCCCCATTTTCGCAAAACCTTTCGTTTGGTTTACCAAGGGGGGGGGGTCTCGCGCCCAAGGTATCCCATATATCGTTATTTTTGAGTGTGCGAGGGGTCGTGGCCCTGATAGCACCTCCGCGCCTTGACTTTACAATGGATCATTTCAACGAGAACGCGAGTCGTTTTATTTGTTACCAGGGGGCGTGGCTCTCAAAGCGCGAACCGCTTGATGCTTCTTGTTTTCACGTGGGCTTCTGGCCACGAGAGCACCAGTATGTGTTAAAAGTGATAGGGGCCCTGGGGGGCGCGAGTCCATCGCTTCTCCCGAAGTTCAGACACTGGAGGTACGAAAACACGTGCGCGAAGGCAGTGTGATGTATTGGAAGATGGGTCCATGATCGCCGATAATCATTCGATTGTTGCACGAAGGGTCGTGGCCGCAAGGGCCAACATCGACTGCCTTCTGCTTAGGATCCTGGCCCAGAGAACGCAGCCCCTGCTTTCTGATTGCTGGTTATAAAAAGGGTGTTGGCCCCAAGAGCGCAAGCGTGTGATCTGTTACGATGGATCACGGCTTCGAAAACAAGTAGCAGCAGTTTTTCATGACAAGGGACATTGGCTTCGGAGGCACGAACCCTTCGCTTATTTACGAGAGATCCCAGCCCCAAGGATGACACGTGCGACTTCGACTACATCCTTCCCTTCAAAAACCGCCAGGCTGGGCATCCCAGGGAGGGTCTTCTTGGTCGGGGCGAACTGATCGGGGGTCAGCATTTAGTCCCTTTCGATTCCGTTTGGCCGACTGGGGCTTAGGATCCACGCCCCCCCATTCCCCTCGCTCACCAAAATTTGGGAGTTACTCCGTCGCTGACACAGATTGGAGCGCCCACGGTGGGATTTGGGCAAAGCAACATCTCACACGCCGTAGAGTCGGCGGATCGATTGCAGGGCCCGGTGCGAGGCCATTTTGATTAGGGTGCTCGGCTGGAGGGCCCGATTCGGCCGACGGTTGGGCGCCAGGTGCGTCTACGCAGTGGAAGAGTGGGGGGACGAGGATTACAATGGGCAATGGGGCACAGGAGGGCAAGGGGCAGCGTGCAGAACGGGAGCGATGCCCTGCGCGAGTTGACGCCAGTGATTGCGCGGTTTCTTGGTTGGTTGGTGCCATTTTGAAGCACAGCGTCCTCGAGAGCCGCGAGAGCGAGAGAGAGAGAGAGAGATAGTTCTTTCACGCTTTGTGGCGAATGATATGTGCACTGGCATCCGAGACAATCCCATGCCGAGCTGAACATATGGTTGCACGTGGTACTTCATTGGATAAGCACGCAAAGCACAAGACAACCTCTCAATATTGACGCGTATGTCTCAGCATGCCGTCGTCAAACCTATCGTAGTCAGAATGGTCCGGCGCTGTCTAGGTACGGCCATTATGGACTTTTTGTGCTACTGGTGCCTGGCCATTTCAGTTCGAACTGCTGGAACCAGCGGCTTCCACTCGCCGTACCTACGGGGTAATGAACCGCCAGGCGGCGGTCATCACCCGCGGGTCGCAGTGGTCATCGATTTGTGTACACAGCGGATTTGGGCGTTTCAATAATCTCCTCGCGGTGTGACGGTTGTTTTTGGGAGCGCCCTGAGGTTGCACGCGAGGTAGGTTTGCAGCCTCATCGGGACTCGTGATAACGCCTTGAGCTTTACCAAGCATTTGCGTCTCACTGGCTTGGCTTGACAGAGGGGTGCGCTTGCTTGGGTGGCTACTCCGCCGCCTCCTCGTGCTCGCTCGTCCCTCCTCCCCCATCATTCCGTAGGCCTTGAACTCGTTCCCTCCTTGCCCCTCCACCCGCCTCCCGCCTCCCTCCTCCCACTCCTCTTCCTCTTCCTCGTCTTTCTCCTCCTTATCTCGCTTGTCTTGTCTGTGAGTACTCCCGCCTCACGCTTCCCCCTCCTCCTCCTCCTCCTCCTCCTCCTCCTCCTCCTCCTCCTCCTCCCCCTCCTCCTCCTCCTCATCCTCCTCATCCTCTGCCTCCTTCTCCTCCTCCTCCTCTGCCTCCTCCTCCTCCTCTTCATCCGCATGTTTTACATTCCTCGTCCTCTCTCCTTCCCCCTAGCTGCTCCTCAGCTCACCATCCTCACCCCCCACCATCCATATTGTTGTCCGCCCTCGTCCGTCCTCCTTCCCACCCCTGCCTGGCTACTCTCAGTACCTGGGCGCCTGCGGAACACCTGCCACCGTGCCAGCGACGCCCTCCGTGTGGCGGCCATTCGAGCACGGCCCAGGAGGCCGTCAGGTGCGACACCTCGCGCCACAGTTTCCTGAGGAGCCTGCATGAGGCCCATTCGGGCCGTCTTGGGGCTGCCTGGGGTTTCCGTGGGGCCGTTTTCGGGGGGGCCCAGTGAGGCCCTGTTCGGTCGTCGTGAAAGAGATGTACAGGAAGAACTGCACCACCATGAGGGCCAGGCTCATCAGGAACAGGTCCTGCACGATCGGCACCACGAACCGGTTCACGATCCAGTTTTTGCAGGGCCACTTGATCTCGAAGTGGTTCATGCGTGTCCTTATCCTACAGACTTTGATCCTCCAATGGCGTGATGGGCTGCTGCACTCCAGAATTGGCTTCTGTTGTATTATCGGATTGTGCAGAGGCGTCCGCAGGGTCTTGATGATCAGCGCCCTGCGCGCCTTAGGGGCACATTCGAGGGCTCATTCTGATCACAGCTGGGATACATCATGGCCCATTCGCCCTCGGAAGGCCAGCAGGAACTGCGAAGAAAAGACCCCGATGAAATCCAACCATGAAGAACGAATCCTGGGGCCTCGGGCTTCCATGCGAAGCCTGCTTTTCTGCTTTCCAAACGCGGCCCTTTCTGGAGGCTCTTGAGGGCCTCTGCACCTGCACTGGCGATGCTCACGCAAGAAGCGTCGGCGTGCAGTGCCGCGCTGCGCCTCAGGACGCTGACGTGGCTCGGGAGGCACCCACGCAGCAAGTCGGGACTTTCCCTGGGGACCCCACTCCAGGATCCCCCACACGGGGGAGACCCCCCCCCGTTCTCCTTGTCATTACCAGCCTGGAACATATCCCTATCCCTATGCTGGGCACCTCCTCATCACGATGCCAATCTTAGGGATTCCCTTATTTTTTGAAGGCGAATCCCTCAGATTGTCATCGCCTTGTGGCGTGTCTTTCTTATCGAGGCTGGTAATGTCAACAGGGGGGGCCAGGGAGGGGAGGGGGTGCCGCTGGGACCCAAGGGTGGGAGGGGAGGCGGCAACCTGACCCGGGACAACTTTCCTGCCCCTCCCCCTGACCTCCCCCTCCCCCGTTACCCCCCCCGTCAGAGAGGAGAGAAAGGGGATGGAATCGGCTGAATCACGACGTGTCTTTGTTCTGCTCGTTCCCAAAGATATCCTTAGGACTGGCGACGACGACGAAGACGGCGACAGTGATTCACACACGCTAAGGGTCGGCAGATGTTGCCTCACTCCCGCTCTCCTCATGAGCCGTGCGCTTCCTACGCCCACTTTCGCCCGCCGTTCGCCATTATACTGCCTTATCCACCCCCCACTCTGGTCTTCCCTCCACCTCACTCTCTGCCTCCACCTCGAGCCCCTCATTCACATCATCCGTGCGAACACTATTCCCTCCCCTTCTTCCTTGTCGGCTGGTCCGCAGCCTTGCGAATGTGCACCTCGAGCGATATGTGGAGTCCATCTAAAAAATGCACCACTGCTGTTACTACATGGTTGCTCAATTCTGGCCCTCCCGTCGTTCATGCGCATGCATCATTCGTCCGATGCTCCGCGTGGAACGTCGTTAACTCTCATGGCGGTACGATGCCTCTCTCTCTCTCTCTCTTTCTCGTGCGCGCGCCGCTTCTTCGGACAACTTGCTGTATTTTTGGGGTGTACGGAGAGGAAGGAGGTGGAGGGAGGAGGGTCCAGGTTGGGGACGTGATTTTCCTTTTTCTGACGCGCCCCGAGGGAGTGTCCACCTGGGAAATCAGAAGCTGGCCCGCGGCACGAAGGCCCAGAGATTCGCTTGTAGCACTGGAGGTCCAGTGATAACTGCAGTTGAACTTGTGGAAACGGCCCACGATTGTTTCGGAACGATCCCGATGTTCCTCTGGTCCTTCCGTGGGTCGTTTCGTGGTCTTCCTCGCGCACTTGGGCGGAACTGAAGCCCAAAAGAGCATTCGTTCGCGCTCCAAGGTCGGCGAAACCTTGACTGCACTGCCGGGAAGAAGATCGGCGGCGAGTCTGGGGGAGGGGAAATCAGAAGGGGCGGGCCTTCTCAGAAGGCTCGGAAGTCCCACGGCCTTCCGAGAAGTTGTCTGAGTTGTCCCCGACACTGCAGAACTCTTCTCAGAAGGCTGGGGAAGGCTTCCGAGAAGTACTGGCGCCTTCTGACCCAGACCCCCGACGTCATGATTTGTTCATAATGCCGACCCTCAGAGACCTCGATCCATTCCCAAGAAACGGTTTGTCATCCTGAGTCGTTTCTTGACGGTCCCGAGGACCAGTAATGGCCTCCAGTAGCCGAAAATACAGGAAAATCTCTCGCTATGATTTCTGTTCATTGCCCGAGGGGGCCTGGAGAGAAGGCCTCCTCCTTCTCATTTCCCCCCCTCGCTCGCCGCCGAGAAGAGGGCCCAGGTAGGGGAACAAAAAGCTACATAAACATAAAAACTCGGAGGTCCGCGCGGATTTCTCGGATCGGCGCTGGGGCCCCCCGGCGGCGCCTCCAGCGCCGCCCCTGGCGCGCTCAGCGCGCCAGGGAGGGGGGTCCAGCGCCGATCCGAGAAATCCGCGCGGACCTCCGAGTTTTTATGTTTATGTAACTTTTTGTTCCCCTACCTGGGGTCCTGAGGATGTGCGCCGCTGCAGGCATCCGCGAGGCCCTCCCGGGGCCCCGCTGCCTGGGGCTCCCAGTGTCCGAGGCCGCGGGGCGCGGGGAGCTCGGCAGGGAGCAGGTTGAGTCCCGGGGTGAGCCCCGGGAGTGGTCGGACCTGGCTCCTGCAGGACGAGGAGGAGGAGGGACAGGAGGACAGGAGGAGGAGGGAGAAAAGGACAGGAGGAGGAGGGAGGGGCAGGAGGGACAGGAGGAGGAGGAGGAGGAGGAGGAGGAGGAGGGACCGGAGGCGGAGGGACAGGAGGAGGAGGGAGAGAGGAAAAGCTGGTTTTTCAAGCTCAAGCGAACATTAGCGGAGAGAGGGACATGAGCGGACATCAAGTGCTACGCGTGCTGCGTTTCAAATCCTCCTCCTCCTATTATTTCTCCGTTGGACTAACATGAGGTGTGATGCCTGTTGCGTTCACGAACGGAAACTTCCGCTCGAGGGAGAATAGTTAGGTGTTTGGACGTTTATTCGAAGAGCAGAAAACGGCATAGACATACATCGTCATACGTCCGCGCGGACGTCTGGGGTCGGCGCCAGACCCCTCTGGCGCCTCCAGCGCGGTCTAGTATCTTTGGCAGAACCGATTGCTGAGCGCGCGCAAGAAATGTCGCATGGCACAAGGCTTGTAAACGCAAATGAGGCGTTAGTGTTCAGTTTTGTGGTCATTCGCGTCCGATGCACTTTTGGCAAAGTTCGTGCACTGGATTTGCAGCAGGACTCGCTGGCTTGTGCATCAGTACAACCATCGCATGAGAACGGCGGTTTCCCACGCACGCGCGTAATAGCACGCGTGTGCGGTACATCGCGCTATGTGTGGTGAACCGTATCGAAGACGCCTACGACGAATCACCGCCGCCCCCTGCCCCTTTGGAAGCGCCTATGTGTGGCCGACAGCTGGGCTAGAGCTTGGCCAAGCTATCGGGCCAGTTGTTCCCCGAGTCGGTTTGGAAAGCCTTCGGGGAACGCGTGGGGGAGCAATAGGAGGATGATCAGCAGAGGGAGGATGATGATGATTAGGAGGAGGAAGAGGATGAGGATGAGGATGAGGATGACGGGGAAGGAGGAGGAGGAGTAGGAGGAAGAGACTTCTTGGGAACCGTCTTGCGAGGTCTCTTGGGAGGCCTCTGCGGAGCTTCCTAGGAGCCGTTTGGCGG